AGAGAGATGACTGGTGATGCTTTAACCTCAGGGTCACCACACCTCAAGCAACATTAAATAAATTTGGCTGTAATTGAATTAATAGATTATTCCAAAGCTAAGTAAATGATGATTACAAATTCTGAAGCAGAGGCGATGGTCAAAGGATGTTTTTGCGACTGGAAGCCTGTGAAGTTAGGGCAACCCCATATAAATGCCAGATTTGAATCTTTTGAGAACAAGATTGGAACATTCACGTTGTAGGAGATGGGGTCACAACTGGAGTACTGTGTGCAGTTCTGGTCGCCATGCTATAGGAAGGATGTGATTGCACAAGAGAGGATGCAGATGAGATTCACCAGGATGTTGCCTGGGTCACAGCAATTCAGTTACAAAGAGAGACTAGATTGGGGGACTGCTTTTTGTTAGAACAGAAAAGGCTAAGGTAATTTGAGTGAGGTATATAAAGATCTGAAGGGCACAGACATAACAGACAAGGTGAAAGGTTTCCCCTTAGTACAGAGGTTAATAAACAAGGAACACAGTTTTAAAGCAAGGAGCAGGAGGTTCAGAGAGAATTTGAGGATTTTGTTTTTTTACCAGAGGATGGTGGGTATCTGGAACTCGCTGCCTAAAAAGGGGGTAGAGGCAGAAACCCTCAAGTCATTCAAAAACAATTCAGATGATCATTGAAACACAACAGAATACAAGGCCACGGTGCAATGTCAGAAAATGGGATTACAATAGATGAATGCTTGATGTCAAGTGCCAGACAGAAAGGGCTGAAGGGCCTGTTTTCATGCTGTAAAATCTCTAGCGCTCTCTGTGGTTCTACAAAGGATGACATAGCTCTTTGGGATTAATTTAGAAAGGTGTTGAGACATGTGAACACTGGTCAGAGGGTTCAGAGGTATATGGGCATAGCTGCAGAACAAACAATAGGGGAAAGAAAATGCTTATTGCACTTCCAAAGTAAAGAGACAGAAAAGAGATAAGAACTGCAATTGATGCAAGGGAACTGAAACTGAAGGTGAGCGTGACATACCTAATATTCTGTGCGATCACTCCCTTAAAGATTTTGCAAGAAATGAAATTAATAACATGTCTTCTCTGAGTAATAAATAAACATAAATAGGATTACTAACTTTGTCATAAAGAGATCGAAGTCCTATGCAAAGATCAAATCACCAGAGACCCCTCCCACCCTGGTAATGCTCTCTTCCAACCTCTTCCATCAGGCAGAAGATACAGACACTTGAAAACACGCACCAACAGGTTCGAAAACAACTTCTTCCCTGCTGTTATTAGACTGCTGAATGGACCCTCTAACTTCAAATAACATTGCTCATGCATTGTGCACCTCCTTTGCAGACATAACCTTATATGCTTCGCTCTGTCTAAGCACCCTATGATCTGCCCGTACTGCTCACAAAACAAAACTTTTCACTGTACTTGGGTACATGTGACTACAATAAATCAAAACAAATCAAAATCCAAAAAGTTTAAAATTAATAACTCTTCAGGAAAATAAGTACAAAGAGGAACTGGAGATGAGTGAAACTTTTTACTCGATTTCAAAAAGGCACACAGCTGATGTTGCTACCTTAAAAGTCTGATTTAATACCGTATAAAATAATGCCATTGATTATCAGGAGTTAACTTTAGGATTTAATTGTACTCATAAATACTAGCCAACATGTATTCCAAAGAAAGGTCCAGTCTAACTGAACACTTAGTCAGAGGTAGTAAGAACTGCCGATGCTGGAGTCAGAGATAACACAGCGTGGAGCTGGAGGAACACAGCAGGCCAGGCAGCATCAGTGGAGTAGGAAAGTTGACATTTCGGATCGGGACCTTCTTCAGAAATGGGAGGGTCCCGACCCAAATCGTCAACATTCCTGCTCCTCTGATGCTGCCTGGGCTGCTGTGTTCCTCCAGCTCCACACTGTGTTATAACTGAACACTTAGGCCTTTTTGTAGAAGTGACCTTTCAAGTGAACTGTGGAAAACCTTACAACATAGTGCACACAGACTTACAAAAAACATTTGTTCAGTGAAATGTTGCAAGGATCAATATTCAGGCCATTTGTAGCTGACATCCATCATTGAATTTTAAAACTAAATACGAATTGATCACATTTCCAGGTTTTATCAATTTGAAGAGGAAGTTGACTCTGAACTGAAGAAGCGTGAAATAGTCTTGAAGAAGAGGTCGTAGATATAGAGTGAGAGGAGGTAGGTTCAAAATTGAGATGAGGAGAAACTACTTCTCTCAGAGGGTTGTGAATCTGTGGAACTCACTGCCACAGAGTGCAGTGGAGGCAGAATCAATCAACAGATTCAAGAAAGAAATAGACATGTTTCTGATGAAAAGTGGGATAGAGGGCTATGGAGAGCAGGCAGAAGTATGGAGTTGAGACCAGGATAAGATCAGCCATGATCGTGTTAAATGGCAGAGTGGGCTTAAAGGGCTGAACTGCCTATTCCTGCTCCTAATTCCCATGTTCCTGAATAAATTAGTCAGAATACCTGCAGGTAGATAGGATAATGAAGAAGGCAGTGGTATGTTTGCCTTTATTAGTCATTGCATTGAGTATAGGAGTTGGCAGGTCTTGTTGTGGCTGTACAGGACATTGGTTAGGCCACCATTGGAATACCGTGTGCAATTCTGGTCTCCCTGCTATAGGAAGGATGTTGTGAAACTTGGAAGGGTTCAGAAAAGATTTACAAGGATGTTGCTAGCGTTGGAGGGTTTGAACTATATGGAGAGGATGAATAGGCTGGGGCTATTTTCCCCGGAGTGTCGGAGGCTGAGGGATGACCTCATAGAGGTTTATAAAATCATGTGGGGCATGGATGGGGTAAATAGACAAGGCCTTTTCTCCATGGTAGGGAAGTCCAAAACTAGAGGGCATAGGTTTAAGGTGAGAGGGGAAAGATTTAAAAGGGTTCTAAGGGGCAAATTTATCAAAGTCAGAAGTCACACGACACCAGGATATAGTCCAACATGTTTATTTGAAATCCTAAGCTGAAATCATAAGAAATAAGATTCCAGACCCACAGCAATGTGGTTGACTCTTAACTGCCTCTGGCCAATTAGGGATGGGCAATACATGCTGCCTGGCCAACGACACCCTCATCCCGCAAATGAATAAAGGAATTGGAGTGATGTTGTGATATCTTATCAATGGAATCTAGGCTGTGATGCCTCAAACATGATGAGGTGTCTAAACCCGTCAACCTTCAGGTCCTGCTAATAAGAACAGGCTTGTAAAATAGATGAGGCCATGCAATGTCGTTATTGAGTGGTTGATCAGTGTATTTCTAGCCTGGACACACAAACCTGGAAACAAAAGCTACTTTTTTTTATATTCACTCATGGGACGTGGGAATTGCCGGCTGGCCACCTTTGAACTGAATGGCTTGCTGGGCTATTTCAGAGTCAACCATATTGATGTGGGTCTGTAGTCACATGTAGACCAGACCAGGCGAGGATGGCAGTTTCCTTCCCTAAAGGGCATTAGTGAACAAGATGGTTGCTCCAACAATTGACAATGGTTTCATGGTCATCAGTAGATTCTTAATTCCAAATTATTATTGAATTCAAATCTCACCATCTGCTGTTGCGGTATTCAAAGCCAGTTTCTGGAACATTGCCTGAGTTTATGGATTAGCAATCTAGCGATAATACCACCAGGCTATTCCCATTGTCTCCCGTTTCTCCAACATGTCCAATGTCTGAATCAACAGAACAAGTTGAATGCTGGCCTATGTAGCCCCAGTGGGAAAATGTAAGTCAGAGAAACTTATCTCAATGTACATCACATTCTGACCAGACCACACCTTAAGTTCAGTGTCCAGCTCTGGTCAGTAGGTCACAGGAATACTTACAAAAACTGGATCCATTACCAAGAAGAGTCTCTGGTCTCAAAGACGTGAGAAATAAAGATTGTCTGAAAAAAAGCCAAGATGTTTCAGCACTGAAAGGAGGTGATTAAGGGATTATGGTACTGATGTGTATAAGAATGCAAACTGTGTAGGAAATGTAAATGTAGGAAAGTAGCTTAAACTGAATCATAACATTGGGTTAAAGGGACACTGAGTCAAAGTAATAAACAGTAAAATTTTAAACTGGCATCATAACATTCTTCGCTGCAAGAGTGATTGACTCCTTGGATTAAAGTTCAGATAGAGAAGAAATAAATCCCATGAGCAATTTGATGCTGCTCATGGGATGGATGGACAGACAGACAGATGGATGGATGGTTGGATGGATCGACTACCTTCAAAAAGTGCTTGCATGAACTCTTAAAGTGTCATAACATTCAAAGCTATGGGCCCAGTGCAGGAAAGTGGGATTATTGTAGATAGCAGTTGAAGTAACTCCATGGAGGCTGGTATCCTGTCACCAAGTCACCCTTTATTTACACATGACAGTACATGGACTCTGATCAGCCAGCTCAGACCCAATCCGTACAGTCAGGAAAATCTCTGATTCTCCTGTTTATATCTGTCAGCTAGGGTTCCCTGATTGGCCCAAGTTAACAGCCCCAATCAGGGATCTTATACTCAATGAATTCCACCTGGCCCCCATTACTGTAGTATATTTTGATAGTATATTTTGATGGTCCAGACTCAATGGGCTGAAGGGCATCTTGTGCACTGTATGATTCTATGGTTATCTGGATTAATGGGCTAAAAGCAGTTTCATCCTCTTCATCTATAACAGCCTTGTGATCTGTAATATGTAAATGTTAAGGTGCTAAGAAAGTTAAAGGTCTTTCGAAATAAGCACTAATGAAATGCTGAGGTTTTACACGCTAAGCATTATCAACACCATACATTGAAGATGGAAGCCCCTCAAATAATGGCTTTACAGTTATAGCTGTGATTATAACTCTTCCGTTTTACTGTGTCAGTATCTGTGTAATAAAACCTTAGCGGTAAGATAGTTTGTTAAGCAGGTTTATTGTGTGTGATCAAATATCAAGCAAGGAAAGAAACAATATTTTCCCATTTACCTACTCTGGTCCCAGTTGGCAGCGAACAGTGCCAGGATTTTCCTCCCATAGTGATCTGGCTGCTGGAAGACCCCGGGGAAGCCATCCATCAGAGCCCGTTTGATGCCAGGGTCGTCGGCTTTGAAGTTTTTAAACATGTCCAGGTTTTGTTGGCGATACTGGAAATACTGAGCGAGCAGTTTGAAGGCCTCGAAATGGTTAAACTTCCTCGCTCTCAGAAAGCGCAGGATGAAGGCATCGTCTGTGCGCAGGAAGCCGATGTCAGGCCGTGTTATGATCATGTCTCTGACCTGCTGGATGTCCTGGTGTAAGGCATCTGGATTCTCATTCAGTTCCAACCGAGATTTCTCGATGATTTCAGCACTGAGCCCGGATTGCAGATGGGTCATTTTGGCAACTGCACCTCGAGCAGCGAGGCTTGGCTCCGGATTTCTCACCACTCGCTAATAATGTTTAGACTTCACCATCACAGAGTGTGAGTGCTATGTCCATGTCAACTTTCTCAGTGTCGTGTTAGCCTATTCAACATTGTCCTCCATCTGCTGACAAAACATGATGCTCAAGAGAAGTCACATGGCTGACTTTCTGAAACACAGATAAGTGTAAAAGAGAGATACGTTAGACATAGTGTCCATATTCACAACGTTTCCACACTTACACTGCCCTCTAACAAGTCCCAACACGTGTAACATGTCTGAGCAAGTTATTTAGAAATTATTCCATCTTGTATACTTCATCTCAAAACTGGCTCTGCTCTCCTGCCCTCACTTAGCCACACTGGAAGCACCGATAAGGAAAGATGTAATTGTTGAAAGAGTTGTCGTTTTCTGACTCTCCTCGTGAAAGGTTTAGAGTGAAATGATCATTCTGTAACAAATCCTTGGGAAACGGCTGACCTTGGGGCTGTCCCCCTCAAGGTCCTGCTGTTTTCCGTTCAATAGAACAAGTTGAATGACAATGTATGTTTAAACATGGTGGGATCTCACGGAAAAGCCATGAATTCGTGGTCACTAAAACTAAAGCAGACTCCTGGAATTCCATGACCAAGTCACACAGAATCCCATTAAATCTCCTTTGTTCACTCATCCTTTTTTTTGGAAAACTCAAATTAAGCGCCTGGTGGCAAATAACATTCCCTGATTTAAACAAAACCCTGCAATCTCATGGAATAAAATTTATGATTTTTTTTATTCTAGCCCTGGTTTTGCGCCTACTGTCCGTAGTTTGTGGCAATTGCTCGTTTTTGTGACCGTCACTGAACAGGTTTTATGGTTTTGGGGGCATCTTCCCTTTCTGTAGAATTGAATCTCTTGATTCATAGGAACGATTTTTGTTCAAAGCATCGGTTTGCGGTGACTGCAAAAATACAACCAGAGCCAGTGGCCTGTATGTTGTGTGTCTGTAGCTGGGCTCCATTCGATTTATAAAACCATCTCCAAGCCTCCATCCTGTTGCCAGGATTTACATTCCAGCAGGAACTTGCACATTGTCAATGGATGCTACTGACGCCGCCAGCAGGTCGGATCAAATCCCAAGGAGCGAAGAGGAACCGTTTTAACACTTTTACACGGAAACGTTTCCGCTTTCATTGTCATTTTTCTGACTGGCGTGCGTTTATTTTATCCTGCATTCTGAAACCTAACAGGAAAAAAAAAAAATGAATCAATGGATATTGTCTTCGGGGGAAAATAAAACAGATGGGGAATTGCTGCAAGCTGATCCCTGCAACGCCAGTGATCCTGTAGGGAAAGCAGACCCAATGCTGCTGGGCACCTGGTCTGTGACTGTGTCAGCAACAGAGACGGAAAGAGAGAGCCAGCTCGATGCAGGGACCAGCTGGGGAGCAGCCATTGAGGGAGAGACCTGGATGAAGAGCAATGAATGCTGCCGCTTTTAGGAAGCAGAAGCTCACCTGGCCTTGGGGTTGTTAGTTTTATCTTTCTGTGGTTCTGCTTTAACTTCTCCCCTCCTGGAAATGCCGCCTCCTCAGCAGGACAGTGGAATGAAGCGTTGTCCAAGGAGGGATTTCTCTAGAGGAATCCTTTACCCCATCCCCAGCGCTGGGCGTGTGTCTGCATACACCGGGATACAGCCACTGGGTCCTACCGCCCTCCCACGCTCAGTCCTGTACTAACAGAGTAGTCTCCCACCGACACGTCTTCCCCCTCGCTCTGTCCTGCTGTCTTTAGAGAGTTCACATTTACATTTTTTTAAAATGAGGATGCAATTGCTTTCACTGTCTTGAGTAACTGAATGCATCAGCTTTAAAATTGAGTGGGTCCCTAGATATTTAGATATTTTGAATCAACCTGTACTGATGTGCTATAACACACCTCTGGAGCAGGTAGGCTTGAACCTAGCACCAGAGGTAGGGACACTACCAACAACAACACATGACCCTTAATCAAATTACTTACACCAACTAGGAATTGAACCCAGAGATAGTAGGAACTGCAGATGCTGGAGAATCTGAGACAACAAGGTGCAGAGCTGGATGAACACAGCAGGCCAAGCAGCATCATAGGAGCAGAAAGGCTGACGTTTCAAG